CACCATCCACAGAGAAGCCTGCAGTTTTCCTCTGGTGCATGTTGTGGATAGTGGATGCATTTCCCATGAAGACTCGGAGACAGGAGCCTGGCCAAAGAGGCCAGTCACCCCAGCCCCTGCAAGGCACGGACCTGCCCCTCTGGTGTCTGCACACAGTACCACAAGTCTAGCAGTGCTGGCTCTGTGGTGGGATCCATCTGGGCCTGCAGAGGACCCGGGGCACAGGAACCGTGCAGCCTGGCTGCAGCCAGATGCCTAAGGGATCCCCACAAGGGTCTCCAGCTGAGGTGCCCTCACCACAGGCAGAGCCATGCAAGAGAACTGCCTGCTGAACTGGAAACGTCCCAAACTGCTCAGCCAACTCAAAGGCAACAGCCACCTACAGCTGCTGAGCCCGAAACGTGGCCACTAGACCCAAAGGGCTGAATCTGGAATTTAACCTGTGAAGTTCTTTTCCAGTGTGATTAGCTATGTAATCAAATCTTTATTCTAATTAAAGGAGTCTCAGGTTATGGGCTCCCTTGTCGGGCATCACAGCTCCAGGGAGTAAGAATGGGAAGGAGAGGCCCAGAGCCTCTCTCCATTCTCCACGCTAATTCAACACGTCATCATAAGGACAGGCACTCCAGCAGGAGAGGTGTGCATGGGAAGAACTGGGTTGGCCCTGACACAAGCATGACCCCATGGCATCACAGCTGCCTCAGCCAACAGGCAAAAGACAATGATGCCCACCTGGACAGGCCACCGGATGTGATGAGGCACCCCAAGCCCTAGTCCCACAGCAGCCAGAGACCACCCGCTGCTCATCCTGGGTGAAACAGGCAGAGCTGCCTGAGCCCTCAAAAGCAAGAATTAAGGCAGCAATTCCCGCGATTCCCACGACACACGTGACACTCCTCAGAGACAGACACAAGCTTCGCTGTGAAAGTGCAGAGGACGGTGCAGTCCCTAGGCAGGCTGCTTCTTCCAACGATTGGGGAAGAAACCAGATCCATTTCCTTGTAGGAGAATCATTTAGTACCGTGATTAGACAGAAGAAGAAGGTAGCTGATGTTGTCAATCACCAAGCACCGCATGGCTGCTTCTCCAAGGGGGCCTGGAAACTTGCAGCCACCTGCCTAGGGGCCGCAGTGTTTACAATGGAGATACGTGTGACTGAGGTCTGGCTTCCTCAGGGAAGCTAAATTTGAACCTTCACCACTGAGGAATCGGTCATTTACAGTCACTCACCCTCAATGCAGAAGAGGGCTCAAGACACTGCACCAGACTTCAACACTCAGGGTTAGGGTCAGGGTCAAATTCACAAGTTTTACAAAATGTATTTACTTGGGATGCCAGAAAAGATGTAACTTCACACACCACCCCCCCACCCCCCAGGGTTTGCTTAGCCCCTTCACCAGTGGATCTCACCAACAGAGACACATCCAGGCCTCATCCACGGCAGCACAGAAAAGCACTTGGGAGACAGCCACTCCCACCAAGCTTCCTGGCTTTGGTGTTTAAATTCTGCATCTCATATGTGAGATTACACTCCTCTGAACAGACATTGGACTGTCATTTCACCCAAAAGGGCTTTAGGAAATGACACGCGGTCCAAACGCCAGAGGCCGCCGGCTGCCTTACTCAGCCTAATTCCTTTGTGCCTCTATGGAGGCTTCACAGATACAGCCCGGTCACATTAATGACCGTATGAGAAGCTCAGGGCATAGACGAACTCAGTGCTGAATTTTTCCATTTATCGCCCCTTTGTTTTATGAGAAGACAGCTGAGAAAGGCTGGGGCAGATCATCTCCTCAGGGTAATGGCTCCACCCACTTCTCTTCACCCCAGGTCACCCCCTCAGTCACACTTTGAGAAATCAAAGCAATTCTTTCTTCACTCTGGGTTCCAAGTACTAATTCCTCCATTTTCTCAATTAGATTATCAAGCAGCCGTTTGTAATCTGGACTGCAATCTGATACAAAATGTAAAGCTAATTTAGGTTGTGGTAATAGCTCCTATTTACATTATAGACAAGGCATGAATGATAACTTTAATCTGTTTGTTCATAGGATCAATTTTGTAAATAAACCAACTATTCAAGCAATGATTGTCTTCAGTCAGATGCAAATTTGCTCATAAAAGATTTTCCAGTAGGAATTTTTAAATCCATGGTCTGTATTCCCTGAGCCTGTCTCTGCACCTTCCCCGAGTGCACAGCAGGACTTCCCAGGGCATCCCATCAGCAGGCCCACTGAAGAGAACAAGCCCGCAGCCCCCAGCCACGAATCAAGTCCGAGCCCCAGCAGCCCTTCGTCCAGCTGAGGCTTCCTCACCAGCACAGCACCCAGAGTCCTTCCAGGCTTAATGCCACGTGTGGTGAGATGCTGGAAGGACCACAGTGGACATTCTGCAAATGCAAATTCCCTCCTGCAACAGCCCAACAACCCTCTGTACTTTCTCAAAGTACCCATGCCAGGCAGGCGTAGAGGTCTAATGGGGTGCCTAGGAATCAGCATTTAACACAACTCTGATGAATAAACAAGTTTGAGAGGCCGGTCAGTGAGAGGCTGCCGTGGCCTCCACTCATTTGCAGGCTCTGAAGAGACAGATTCTGGTAAAAGGCCAGATAGGACAAGGATGGGGAGGTGGAAGGCAAATTACAGGGACCACCAACCACCCTGCCACCCCCACTGAGACTGTGATTTAAGGAGAGGCAAAGCCAGGGAGAAAAGATGCCCACACCACGCGAGGGACTGAGATTTCACCTGAAGTGTGCAGCATGTGGCTGAGGGCCAAGGTTGGGCAAGCCAGGAGCACAGAATGGGGTTCACAGGCCCAGAGGTGCCCCCCCACACCCAGACCCCACGCAGACCTCCCAAGCACTGCCTGTGTCTCCTGCCTGGTTTATTTCCTGCCCCCCCTTCTACTGTTTTGGTTTCTCGGCCGCCCATCACCACCACCACACACCCCTCTCAAGACTGGTGGACTGAAAAGAGCAGGTGGGGTAAGAGCTGGGCTCTGGGACCAACGTCCTGCCTGAGACATGAGTTCTAACCCACCCAGCTGTGATGTGAGCCTGTGAGATTTCTCAAATGAGAAATGGAAAGGTAACTGAACCCACGTCCCAGGATGACTGTGGAGACTGAGATCACATATAGCCACACCTCGGCGTCCAGTACACGTGGGACACCAGCCGTGTTGCCCCTGATGGGAATCCCTCTATGCCCCCTTTGCTACCAGAGTCAACTCCCAGAAGTAGCTGTGGAGGGTGCGTCCTCCATTCCCACTCCACTCACCTCCCATGGCTCCACGCGGTGACCTGCCATGCAGCGGCCACCAGCAAACGCGGTCCCACTGGATAACTGACCATCCCCTCCCCCACTTTGGGGCGTCTTCCACTTGCAGTTCTGAAGCAGTCCGAGAAACTGCCTTCAAGGGCACTCACCTGTTCCTTATTGCACGTAATGACCTGCCACGCAGGACCACCAGCAAACCTGGCGCCACAATCCAGGCTCCAGGGAATAACTGACCCCCCACCCCCCACCTTGGGTCTTCTTCCACTTGCGGTTCCGAAGAGGGCTGAGAACCGCCCTCAAGGGCGCTCACTTTGTTCCTTATTGCACGTAATGACCTGCCACGTAGGGCCACCTGCAAACCCGGCTCCACCGTCCAGGTTCTGGTGGGTAACTGCACCCCTCCCCTACTTCCCCCTGGGGTGTCTGGGAGGCTCAGAAACTGCCCTCCAAGGGCACTCATCTGTTCCTTATTGCACTAATACCTCGTTTACAGAAATCCACTTTGACTTCCAGCACTGCAGGTGTGACAATTTAGGAATCCTGCTTGCTTGCAAGCTCCAAGAGCTTGAGGTCACGTCCACCTCACCAGCATCCCAGAGACCCAGTACTGTCTCACTCTGTTTAAAATTCCAAAACACTCTTTCAAAATGCTATTGGCATTTGGTTTGTGCATAAAATGCTAAAAACCTTCAAGTGAAACAGTATCTTCAACAGTTTGATTCAATCATAACATGTGAGTTACATATCTGCCAAGTTGTAAAGCCTCATGCATTTATAACATTTTATGTATGGTCAAATGGTTCATTAATATAAATATGAGAATCTCTAAGAAACAAGTTTTTCTGGCATTAGATGACCAAAGGAAAACTGGGTTCTGGCTGGCTTGCGGGACCGTAGAGGCAGACATATCTGCTGACACAACCAAGCTCCTTCCACTGACGTGGCCTCATCCCAGGCCCTCACCCGGATGCCTGCACGCACCTGGAGGAGCAAGCTGACCTGCCCACATCTCTCAACTGCACAGCTGTTGCTCACACCGCAGATGGAGCTCAAGGCACGAGCAAGCCACCACACTACAAATACCACGCAGCGTCCACGCCAGGTGACGGTGCTTTTCACTCCATCCCAAAGCCCCATGTGTGAGTTTACAGCCATGACTACTAAATGGATTTTTGGACCCTCAAGACATACTTTGTTTCCTTTATATGCAACAAAGTTACAAGACTATCCCTCACATATAGGCTCTGAAACTGTGGAATTATTATTTGGGAACAGAACCACTGCCAGATCAGGATAAGCACTTGGGACAACACCCCGTGCCCTCGGTCCACACAAACCCATCCAGACCAGAGGCCTCCCGCACTGCTCTGGAATTTCTGTGGATTTCTATAAATGAGGTATTAGTGCAATAAGGAACAGATGAGTGCCCTTGGAGGGCAGTTTCTGAGCCTCCCAGCCACATGGCCACGTTCGGCTGAAGCCACACCTCAGAAACACTGTCCCTCGCCGAGGTGTGTGGCTTCTCCCTTTTTCCAGAACTTAAAACCTGAAAGGACAGGTCTGTGTAGAAAAACACAAACTACTTGCCATTCCTCTTCCCAGTTCAGGCTGTAGGAAGCTCATTTCAGCCCTCACTGTGTTCTGACTGTGGCTTGGTTCCCATAAGAAATAAAGTCAGAATTCTAGTCCCTGTCTCCTGGGCGGTGTGGCAGGCATACATACCTTCAGTTACATGAGGAAAGGCGTGGCGAGCTCCCTTCCTTCAGTAAAACTGCAGTTCCCAGAACCCTGATGCCATCCCCTCACGCCACTGTGAACACCTGGACAGAGCACATTCAATGCGTGCACCTTCGTGGACTAGTTTTCTATTTCTCCACTAAATCACCCCAAATTTAGCGCCCTAAACACTGACTTATTTTCTCACATTTCTGGAAGCTGGAGTCCAAAACAGGTCCCACCACCTAACATCGAGGTGTCGGCAGGGCTGGCTCTGGGAAAGCGACCGTCTCCTTGCCTCCCGCAACCTCTAGAGGCTTCCGCACCCCCTGGTCCATATGGCACCCACTGTCTTCAGGACCCACAGCGGCCCTGACGGCCCCTCAACAGGAAGACACAGAACGTCAGGAGCCCGGCTCTAACGCTAGGGCCATGCCTCCCCACCCTCCTAGCTCCTCACGCACTCCCGTACGAGCTAATATAGATTCCACTTCAACTAGTGTCACCTGTGTAAGGGGTAAGTGCCCAGCTGTGAACTGGTTACTCTCGCCCACACAGACCCCGGGAATAAACTCACAGGCCATGGACCACTTCATAAGCAACAAATGACCACCTGCTCGGGGACCTCCATGGCCCAGCGGAGTCCTGTGGTGCCTCCCCGTGGGCTCAAGGGACCAGTGGCTGGGGTCTGCAGCGCCAGAGGGCCCTGGATAAAAAAGAAAGCTCCCATGTCGGGAGGCACCCACCTGCGGTTGGGTTCCCGGTACTTTAAGGAGCCCAGGTGGACAAGCTGTGAAGCGTGCAACTCCATCACCAGAATAGTGGCTGCACGTGGCGAGTGCACGGGTGGCCACCCCTCAGCCCAGCTGGCCGCGCTAAGCACATCACCGCCGTGACGCCCAATCAGACTCAGCTGCTGGCACAGTCCAGGCATCCGCCCCCAAGAACATTCTGGATCACGATTCACAGTAGTGATTGTGATCAGGCCACACGTAGCTGAATGTATTTACAGGAGGACGCCACAGCCGATCTGTGACTGAGAGCATTCCCACTGTACCTCTACAACACCATTTTTATTTGTCCCTTTTATTAAACTTTTATGGCTTTTTTCTGTTTATCTACTTATGGGAGTGTTCTTATTCTACGACTGCAGCGATACTTCAAGCTACAACTATCAATGTGTAAAATTAGTTTGGAAGGCGCCTTATATTACACATTTCACAAGCAAGCAGTCAGAGGCACCCAACCGGAGGCCTGTTTTCTTCTCTGAGCCAAACCTCATTGACTCAAAGAAAACGCACACGGAGAGGGGCTGGATCTCCAGCTCCCATTCCTGGGGGCCTCCTGGGGAGCAGATATGGAAGGAGAAGCCCTGGGCTACGGCACCGTCTTACTAAAGAAAGTCCATTTGGGTAAATGTAAGCACCAAACTGAAGAGATTAAGCAAACCATGAAAAGAGACCACTAACCACAGCTTCTCTAAAACAGAACTAAACTCCCTTTAGTTTGAATTGGAAAAGCAGAAGTGATGATCAGGATACAAAGAAAAAATGACAAAGTATCTGAACACAGGAGAATAAACAAGGGCCACTGTCTCTTCCTGTGTCAGTGGGAGCCTCGCATCTAAGCTGGATTTAGAAGGTTGCTACTTTGAACGGAAAGTTATCTTCAACCCTAGTTTGTAAGCAAGCGGAGCAGAACGCTTCAATTATTTCAAGGTTTAGCGGTAAAGCTCTGCAACTCTCACAACCATTTTAATTGGTGTGAATTTTAAAGTGACTCAATCTGTTGGCTGGAGCATCTAACGGCTTAACCACGGGGTCATGTTGGAAAATTATTCCAATTGCTTTTGTTTTTCCTACTGAAGATGCATTTGAACGTTCTTGCAGTTTGCAGTTGGCTGGT